TAAATGAAGATACTTTACTGAAGAGTTTCAGAGTAATTGGAATTTTCTTAAAACTCTTTGTTGAAATGGTATGGAAAGACCTGTAGGTCAGGTGATTCGGAACCAGGTAACTTGATTCAAGCATTAGGTTACAGTAATTTGGAGAGCCTGTTTGAACAGAGGTAGAAGAGAACTCGAACTTATTGGGAAAACAGTCACTGACAGCTCCATGTCTTTTTCAGTAGTAACTTGTTTAGTCCAAACCTTCCTCCATTCATTGTCTTTCACATTGAGTATGTTAGCCCTCATCACATCATCTAGTGAAGTATTTTAATATTTATACTTTAAGTATGAAAGAATTAAACGAGGGTGTGCGGTACATTGGAAACGAATATATTTTAGTATTTTATAAATTACTGTTATGAACCTTGATCTCGGTGATACCTCTAGTGGTTTCATCAGTCATGATTCTTAGCTTTAAGAATTCTATATATTCACTGTTACTTGAAGTACCAAATTACAGTTTAGATGCCTGTGAAAAATATTTTCATTGATTTAAATAATTTTCTATGTTTTCACCTTTAAAATACATTTTAAGACTCACAAAACAATTTCCTAAAAGTACTTTGGATGCTTACTCATTAAAGTTTGTCTCTTCCCAAGCTTTATACTGTCTGCTATTATATTTTCTAGAGTTTAACCAGAAGTGTAATATTTTGTCGGCTTTCACTCTCTTGCTGTTAATCATTTTATTTACTGTGATGAATAAAAAAAGGGATGGACACACACACACACCCCCACCAAAAATGAGAATATTGTGTCTGCACAGTCTGGCTAAATGGCCTGGTGAATTTTCCCTTCTTGCCAATGTTGTTGCTTAGTCTATTAACAATAAAAGACACTAGTCATAAATGCTTATTTTAGGGTTTCATCAGAACGCTGTTGCTATTTTTTTCAGTTTACATTTTATTTATCAAACCTTTGCATTTCTGGTCCTTCTTTCATGGAGAAAAGTATATTCTTATACTCAGAAATTAAAACAAATCCATACTGTTCCTGAGCACAGGACCAGGACTGTTCCAGTGGTCTCCTCTGGATTTTCCTCATTTTGTCTGCGTGACTTCTGCCTAGAACATGTAACGTGGTCATTACAATCTGGTACTTTTGCTTGCCATGAACCCTCTGTTCACAGCTGTGATTCTATGATTCTCGCATTGTAAATTAATCTTTCTCAGTATTGTGTTGCCTGATAGATCCAAACAAAAGATAAGATTTTCTACCATTATAGACAGGCAGGTCTCCATTTTTTTCTGTCTTAAAACTGACACAGTTCTGCTATAAAGCTTTTTCAGAGAGAACATTGTCTTGATATATACATATAATTGCATAAATAGTTTGTCTCCTAAGAAAACATAGCTGTGTACCTGGAGTACTCAGACATAGTATTATTTTAATCTTGAAATGTGTGTGAGAGTGATTCATTCTATGACTTGTGTAAGAATAAGTATTTTTTTTAAAGTTCATTAAAAAAGAGAGGTATTAACAAAAGCTTGCTGGGATTGTTACCCTCTTGTGAGGGAAACATTTTCAAAGATGTTTTGGGTAATGAAGCCCCTCATGCTTGTCAATAGTAATACAGTTTTTAATGAGTATTCAGTCTCCAAAAGTCATTTTGTCTGTCCATTGTTTAATTATGGGAATAAAATTATTTCTACTCTTTCCTATTTGTGGATTTAGGAAGCAATGTGTGCCTTATGCTCATGAAGCCAATGCTTCAGTGTCAGCAATGTAGTATTAAAGACAGTGGAGAATAAACCACAATTAATATCAAAGAAAACACAAACATAAGTAAAAATGATAGTATGTCATTTGTCTGTTTGATTACAGTTATGTTAAAGTATGAATTTACATAACCAGTGAGATTGTATCAGCATAAAACTAGGCCAAAAGAATCAGTTTAAGGAGAAAGAGAAGCATTTTTTTTTTCCCTTATATTTAACCTTTGTAGAGGTTTCACTTGCTTTTGTGTCTCTTCCGCTGTTGCCACATTTCCTTCTTTTTTGTTTTCCCTTCATTCTTCCACTGTCATATTTTCCACTGAAATCGGTGAACTGAGCAATGCAACTGAAGATACTGTTACATTTGTCTCAATTATAAAAGAAAAACACCAACAGCCAACTTCAGCCTTGTCACACTAATCTTCCTTTCAGTAATGAATGTGTGTTTCTCTAATTAACTCTTGCACAACATGCAGGGAGAAAAGAAACAAAAAGGCATTCGTTGATCTTCCTTCCTCTTCCTTTTCCTCAAAGGAAAGGACAACGATGTTTCTAATAGATTTACCCTTAGAAGACAAATGAGAACATTCAAAGCTTTGTGGATTGGAAATCAATGTGCATAAAGCAAGAAAAATGGGCAGTGTTATCAAGTGAATAGTTTGCACAGTCAATGAACTCCAGGAAAAAAAAAAAAAAAAAAAAGCCATTTTCCTATCCCTAGTTAGTCTGGCAAACTCCACCATAATCAATTCCACCTATGTTTCCCAACCTCTCTTTTAAAGCATTTCTGCCACAACACACTGTTTGTGCTTGCCTTACAATGGACCCAGCCGTGTACTGATAGAAGTTTGTGCATTTTTTAGTACTAATTGTTTTTTAAAAGTGTGATCTCCAATAATATTTTTCATCTGTATTTGAAATGTCTGCCCATACCCTGTGTGCCAAATTTTTATTCTTCCCTTTTTAAAATTTACCTTAAAATTCCCTCACTTTGCTGCACTGAAGTTCCATATTAGAAACTGTACTAGGGAAAATATTTGTAGCTAAGTACATTCAGCTTTGGTGATGAATAAGTTCTATAACCAATTTTAGAACTGAGCATTAGCTGCTGTTTTGCATCAGGGAACGTGACTTTTGCATCAGTAAGGCTTTGTACTGATTGATTGCGCTTTTTAAGTATGGAAGTGGCTATTCTAATTCTTAACTATTCTGTCCTGGCATTTTCCATGTGTAGAATGCAATTAGGTTTATTTGGAGAACTCTGCAGAATGTCTGTTAAGTGAAAATTTGTAGGTGGAATTTTGGCCCTATTAAAATAAATGAAAAGTATCTGTTGCTTGGAATGAAGTTAAAGTTTGTAACTGTGGTATTGTACAAAATGGGCTAAGAAGGAGGAGAAAAAGTTCCTCAGTTGTGGATATTTCTTGTTTCAGATGTAAGTTCTCATAAGAAACTAAACCTAGTCTGCTCAGTTTCTATGCCTTAAAAAATCTTCTGACCCTTACACCATCAGCAATTCTCAAAGTAGCAAAAAGATACCATTAGAGTCAATGAAAAATCTGAATAGTTGTAGGAAGAATCAAGTATAAATCTTTATAAAATATTATTTTCAGTCAAATTGAGCTGGATTTCTTGGCACTGAATCTCTCATTCTGTATTGGAAAATGTATTTATTTATGAGAGCTGAGAATTTAATGAAAATACCTGCCTTGGAGAGGAAGCTCTTTCATTAGTGCAGAAGTCACTGTAGGTTAATTTTAAAGGTCTTTTGCAGTCAAATTATTTTGATCTGCCAGAAAATTTATGTGGTTCTATACAAAAATATTACCTATTCACATTCATTTGAATACTAAAGAGTCATGCCATTTTCTTGCTTAATCTGTGGAGAGACATTAGGTTTAAATTCTTATAACTATACTGCTGGCTTTAAATTTGTATGACATAGGGAAAATTATATCTACCATAGAGGAAAGTTTTGGACTATTCTCCGTGATAACAAGATTGGTCATTTTTTGTGGGACAGAGATTTTAAAGCTAAAACCAAACAAGTGCTGCCCTCTTTCAGTATTTTTTTCCTAGAAGTCAGTACCTCAATTAGCTTGAAAAATTGATGGGGTAACATACAGATAACCAGTTAACCTTATGCTTTTGCTTGCAAATAATGCTACAATCAACTTCACAAACTGAGTTCTATTCTCAGCTTATCTTCTGTTGTCAAAAGAATTTAAAATCTGACAAATTGAAAACAAGCAAGGAAAACATGCTTGGCTTATTTTGTCTTGAGTACATAATAACTTTCCTCAGTTTGCTGGCCATGCCATTCTGAAATAAATTATGCTTGTTTTTGCAATATAGGACAATACCAGTTGATAGTATACCATTTTGTCATCCATTTCAAAAACACTTGTGACTTCTGACAGCTCTAGAGTCTTGAATTTTGATTAAGGAATTTAATTTTGAAATTACCGCTTCCTACTTCTCTAAAATGTTCCATTACAAATATTTTTTTTTTTACTGCACTTTGATTGTTGTCTCCTTTAATCACCTTCACCAATTGAAGGTAAAAATGTGAATCAAGCATTGAGGATTATTAGGGAAGGAATAAAGAATATGAAAATTCATGCCTGCATCTAGAATGTTGTGTGTAATTTTAGCTTTTTTATCTCAAGAAGTGTATCAGAAGTATGGAACAGCTTCTGTACAGGAAGCTAAATGGAGTAGGACATACAAATGTGTTTATGTAAAGAGACTTTTACTGATATGGAGGGGGAAGGGGGGATGAGAAAGGGAACAAAGAATAGAACTTGAGTGGCAGTGTCCTGGTTTCAGCCAGGATACAGTTAAGGAGCCAAGGACTCTCATTGGGCTGAGAGGGAGTTGATCCGGGCTGGGACTGGATCGATCATTGGAGTATTCCCTATCATTTGACATCATGCTCAGTATATAGGCGGTCGCTACGAATTTCTTCTTTTGTCCCTCCTCTATTTCACCGGGGGGGGGG